TACGCTAAATCATATCACCCAAGGCCTCGTCCAACTTGGTCTTGAACACTGCCAGGGATGGAGCATTCACAACCTCCCTGGTGAGTACAAATTGTAGTTGTGTGTGAGGCAATAAGTTATTTGGGTTTCACCAATTTTTTAAGTAATTGTTCTTTGAAAGCAAAATCTATGTAATCTAAGCATTTAGCAATGGTGAGAGTATTGTTTTCCTTCATCTCAAACACTTGAGTCTTGACAGTTCATTTTCTTTCCTCCTCCCCAACTGCTGGGATAATAAGCAAACATCCTGGCAGATAAGACTGTGCATTTAAGTGACCAAAAGAGTGATCTATGTTTTCAAGTCTGAAAAACTTACTTCTCTTACTCTTAAATTTTTCAGTATGGCAGAAAAAGAATGGCATTAGGTGTGTGTTAGAAGTTTTCAGTTGGATACTGAAAAGAGAAAAAATGATGTGTTGATTCGGAGAAAACTCCAGGAACAAACTTGCCAACAAAGTTTTCAAGCTGACAAGCAGGTATTCTTTATTGCAGCACTGGGAGACATGGGGGATAGCTCCTCCTAACCTGTGTGTCCCTCAATTGCCACACAAGCCGTCCTTTTATAGCCACTGGGCATACATACATATTCATGAGGCTACGTATGGATTACATAATTTTCCAGAAAGTTCCCTGCATGCGTACAGAATTATGGTGGTGGTCTCTGAGGGTCGTTTACTTCTTCCAACAATCTTCATCACTTCTGTCAGCCTTTGAAGCATGCCCAGTAGATGCTCATACCAGTTTAATTGGTTCGTTAGCACCAGGGACATAATAATCCTATCCTCGTACTTACCAGTTAGTTTAACTGCAGCCCATCCTGGACACCTGCGGTTCCCAGATACTCCTTATCCCTGTGTCCTGTTCTTTTAGACTGTTTTTCTTAAGCTATGTCACAACTATAACGATTTATCTTGTGAGAATTCTCAGTATGTTCTCTAGCTGTACTCTATTTTTTTTTCTATGTATCCTGCACCTCAGTAATTTTCCATTGTTACTGTTACAAAGCCATCAAACTTAACATTACTTAAAACTAATTCTAAAGGTTTCTATATTCCATTTTGTGATTTTGTGCCCCCTTGTCTCAGTGTGCATTCTTCTACATGTAAAATAAAAGTTAAGTTCTGTTCAGTGTTGAAGCAATATAATTGCATTGTCCAAATATTTATGGAAACCAAAAAAAAATGATGGCTGTCAAATGCATACTTTGTCTCTGAGGAAAAATCCTTCACATTGCACTGAGGTCTGAGAAACTAAATGTGTTTTGTTCAAAGTGAAAAGGATGAAAAAAATTTACTTTTGTTTTATACCTGCAATGTTTACGATTACTTTGGGGCTCCAGAATTGTAGCTTGACTAAATTCATTGAAAGTTCACCTGAAAATGTATTAATTCACTGAATTTCACTTTTCTATGAGACCTATGCATCTTTACTATGACATCCTAAGAAGTATACCTGATCATTATATATACAGAATATATATATATATACACACACACTCTCCCTTTCCCCAGCTAATTATTAATGAAATGGTAATTCCTAGTGACTCAAGCTGTCAGTATCAATCAAATTTGAAAGAAGTTTTTGGTTTAGATGTGTATACAGAAGGGTGTATTCTGAAAATTCTTAGCCCTCTGTCCCTTTCTGCTGTCAGAATCAAAAGTATTAACTTAAGCTGCCAGTACAATAGTTGTGAGCATTATAAAGTCAAACCTGAATCTGAAATCTTATATGGTGTAGATGGGTGTGGGGAAAGAAGCTATTAACTATGATACCAACACCAAGGCTTCTGGAAGGGGTTTGAGTGAACCTGAGAATGTAACAGATCAAAATGTGGTACATAGGTTTCTTATAAGATCAGCAATAAGGATTGAGGAGACTTTGAGAAGAACCTTTTAATCAGGGTTTGAAAGTAAAACTAACATTGATGTGCTTTATTAAGAGTATTAATTTCCTTGCTAATGGGAAAAGCTCTTTTACCTTAACTGAAAACTTCTAACACACACCTAATGCCATTCTTTTTCTGCCATACTGAAAAATTTAAGAGTAAGAGAAGTAAGTTTTTCAGACTTGAAAACATAGATCACTTTGTTGGGTCACTTAAATGCACAGTCTTATCTGCCAGGATGTTTGCTTAATATCCCAGCAGCTGGGGAGGAGGAAAGAAAATGAACTGTCAAGACTCAAGTGTTTGAGATGAAAGAAAACAATACTCTCACTCTAAACAAAACTGTCTTTTCCTTGTTCCCATTTAACAAGAGGCTGTTCTATAGCAACTTGGAGATGACAGTTCATTATCTGATTTCGTGCCGTCTTTGAGTATCTGATCAAATGTGATTAATCTAGTAACACTGTTAATTTATTGATTTAGGGATTTAAGTTACAGTCATGACAAGAATAGTTATTCATCTCCTGGTTCTTATAAAAATAAGCAGTACTTTGGGCTTAAGCAGTAGGCTTGCTGTGTTTTAATTTTGCTTACTTAGGCTTTGGTAAAAATCATCAAAATATAGAGAGTAGGGGGTTTTGTCAATTTTTAGCAGTGTAGGTTTAAAGGGAGGAGACAAATTAGTAGATGACCTGGAGACTCTTTGGTCCACCCACAGAGCTGAAGTGTTTGTCACTCAGAGGAGGCATTCTACTTGGAGTCAACTTCAATCTAAATCAGCCTGTCTTGAACATTATGAGTAATTCTTGGTGTTGATATTTTCCATCAAACCTCCTTATGGCTTACAGACTTTTAAGTAGACAGTCCTTGAGAAAAATATTAATCTAAAAATAATAATTTTCCATTAAAATTAGAATAGCCTTTACCTTCCCTACCCACAACAGTTAGGAGTGGATGGTCATAGGAATGGTCCGTGTTATGCAGAGGAGAGCTGCTCATCAGGACACGTTGTTCTTCCAGGTATTTGATTGCTATTGCATATATATCCATATAACTGAGGTACTACAGAGTGGTGTTCTGAGCTGTTTCAATTGTTTTCTAAGACATTCCTTAGAACTGCAGTAGTTCAGAAATCCCATTGTAGGCAGCACAGGATTTCTGAGGCTAGCAGTTCACAGGGTCAGCCTAATTTGAAGGCAAGTAATTTTGATGTGCACAGGATTCTGAATGCAGGCTGACGAAGTACCTTTTCCCATGTCACTCCATACCCCGTGAGGAGCTGTTGGGTAGCTCAGGAGTGAGGATGCAAGCAAGTTACGGCAGGCCTGGCTCACCCAAGCCTTAACATGGTCATGCAGCTGTGTTTAAAAAAGTAGCTGTATCTGTACTTCCAGAGGAGCTGGCTATGAGTCAGGCTCACTAAGGAATGCAATTTTTATGCTGACACTTTATATAACATTGGTTTCAGAGTAACGGGTGTTAATTCTGAATATTGTCTGCATTGTTCTGATAATGACATCAGAAAATAACATGCTGCAAATGTGTTTGTCTAGCCAAAGGGAGCTATGATTATTTCCTGTCTCTCAGGAGAGCATTATTAAAATAAAGCCTCTTAGTTCCAGGTCTGGTATGAATAGCTGAGGTAGCCAGATTTGTGCATCTCTCTTCACATAATGGAAGGATTTTTAAGACTAAGGTTTCACAGTACAAATCAGATGCAGTCTTTCTTCAGATGAAAAAATTCAAACCTTCTTCAGATTCCTTTCGTTCTGTATAAGCTTCAATTTAGCACTGTGTCAGCATCCATAAATCTCTCACTTCCTACATGTGTATGTGAGGGGGAAAGCCTTCTCCTACATATGATTAACAAGTTAATATAATGTTTCTAATTGCTCATATGAAATGAGTCTCCATGTTTATGAACTGTTACATTTATTAAGGTGTGTCGAAGTCTCTAAATGAAGTGGTTAGGATTAACCAGGGCTGTCCAGTGATAACAAACAGAAAAAAGAATATTAATAATCCTAAAGCAAACCTAAGAATCCAAGTTCTCAACAAGGTTAGTTCTTTGCTTTTAATGACCAGCTTTGTGGAACACCAGAATGATGTCCTTTTAAATTGAAAAAATAATAGTCTACAAATCAACTTTACATTTTTCCTGCTCCATCAAAATTCAACTTAGTAGTCCGTAGTCACATAACATGGTTGATTATTCAGATTTTTGGGGGAATACAATTTATAATAGAGCAAATAAGAAAATTTAGAATCTCTGTTTATGAGCACTGAAAATAAATGCACAGACAGAGGCAGGTTTGGGGTTTGGTTCTCCTTATAGATGGCATTTGGGAAAGTCTTAACTTCCATAACTCAATTGTCAACTACTTGAGAACAGGTCTGTTGTGATATGTTGAACTTTTGAATCCTGTGCTCAGCATCATGTAGTATAGAATCCTAAATTACAAACACTAAATTCTGATTTTTATCTCAAATTACTGTATACTTTGCTCCATAGTCTTCAGGAAACTGAGCTCAGTGGTAGTCATAAAAGAACTATAATGTAGCAGTCTGTATAGTAATTCTACAATTGAAGTGAGGTTACAGCTCAGGGGAAGGTTTAGAGTTCATGTGAACAGACTTATTTGTTCCATCTGACCAATGACGAAAAGCCTAATTCTCATGTCTCTTGTCCCTTCTACACTGATGTGAGTCTTCTAATTTTAAAGTGAGATATTTACTGTGATACAAATGAGAGCAGAATCAGTATGAATGCGTAAGTCAACAGTCATAAAGCAGAGACCAGTAGCTGAGAGCAACTGTGTCACAAACATGAGCTAGAGAATTCACTAGCTTTCTTTAATCAGTGACTGTTTCTGGCTACTTTCTGGGTGAATGAAGTTTTGATACAATCTTTGAGAGCATTAGAGGGTTCATGACAATGACAATGGGCCTAAACTGACAAGAATTTATGTTGGAAAATTAAGCTGACTGTGTTTTATCAGTATTATGATGTTTTACCATCCTTGGTTTCTGTTTTTTTTCTCCACTCCCTTCTCCCTTCCCTTCTTCTGTAAAACAGGGATTTGGGAAACAAGTGGATGTGTCATATATTGCCAAACATTACAACATGAGCAAAAGCAAAGTTGACAACCAGTTCTACAGCGTGGAAGTAGGTGACTCAACCTTCACGGTTCTCAAACGCTACCAGAACTTGAAACCTATTGGCTCTGGGGCTCAGGGAATAGTTTGGTAAGTATCAGTAGTTTCTCTTATGCTTTTAAAATAGGATTTTCCTTTTGCATTTCTTCACAGTTTGCTAGCCACAGACATTGTCTAAAATTGCAAAAATAAGTCAGGCACAGATATCCTGAGGCAGAAGGAGTCTAGTGGTTTGCTAATAAATTCTCCTGCTGGTGAGAATGGTAGCACTAGGTTTATTTCTTCACGTAGCAAAATATAATTAGCAAGAAAGCAGGAGAAAGATCTTATCACAATTGACGTCTGTGGCACTATTTCCAGAGGTAGAACGAATAATATCCAAAATAATCCCTGTAAGTTTAGTCTTTGTACAGCAGAAGTCACTGAGAGCAATATAGAAACTTGTCACATCCCATAGCATTCTCAAGTATTCAAAATGGAAGCCTTTCAAACTGAGATAACTGCTAATGTTTTCTTTATTTTTTAAAACAGATGTTTCAGTGATGTGAATAAGGCAAACAAAAGACACAAAATCAGTAGCTCTTCTAAATAATATGACTGGTTTATGGAATTTGAAATTTATTATGTTAAAAAGTTGTGATAGCCTATGTGGCTTTTTCCTCTGCATTTTTAGAGATATGTCTTAAATTTCAGTGGATTGTATTTAAAAGTCTCTGTGTGGACATTTGTTACCTGTTTAATTACAGGGCATTAGAGTAACTAACATGATCAGAGTAACTTGATCAGAGAGGAAGTCTAATTCTACCTGTCATCTTTAGCACTGATCTTTTCTGACTTTTGTACAGTATGTGTTACCTTACAGTTGGAGGTAGTGGTAAAGCAACAGATTTCTTTAATCTAGGGGCAAGTGGGCTTCCGTGGATCATTGGCATTGGCACTATAATTGACTATGTAACAGCAATTAGCAACACATTCTTAGGTCTCAGTCTGTCACTTCTAGTGACACAAGTCCAAAAATTGATCTAAATGATCAAGTATTCTATTTCATCTCTTAAAGAGTTAAGAGTTAGTTTAAAAGGGTTAAATGTTAGTTTAAAGGTTTAAGGGTTAAAGGTTATTTTAAAGGTTTAGGGGTTAAAGGTTAGTTTAAAGTTTAAAGGTTAAGAAGGGTTAAAGGTTAGTTTAAAATCAACTTTGGGAAAGAAACATACACTGTGTTGAGTACTATCAATATTCATTTGCACTATTCATTTACTTCCATATATAGTAATATGTTTTTTCTTACTACTTACTATTCTCTATTCATTTTAGAGGAAAACCAGATTTTGCTGAACCTCTGCAACTGAATTGCTGTAATGATCAGTTATGAGCAGCAAATAAACCCAAAAACATAGAAGTTGAGCTAAATAGAATCAGTAAAACCCTGTGAATTTGTCTTTTGTGCTAAGAGCTGGCAGGCAAAAATTAAGAAAATCAAATCAGAAAACAAGTAAGTTCAAGTGAAAGTTAACACAAATCTGAGCTGCATGGAGAGGCCATAAAAGTCCCTTTATGGTTTGATGATACGCATATATATTACATGATAAATGGGGTAGATAATGAGCGTTTTTGCTTATGTATTATATTGTAATCTATTTGTCATGAGGCATAATTTACCAGAAATACATTAACAAACTATAAGCAAAGCATAAAGAATTGATGCTGAAGTGAAAAAAAAAAAAAAGAAGGTGAGATAAATATATGTATTTTAGCTAAAGGAAAACAATACATGAGGAAAAAATATTTAGTTACGTAAGTTTATGTTCAGTAATAGTAACCATTATATAGTAATAAGTTTACTACATAAGCTTAAATAGTGTAAGTTTCTATATTTAGAAACTATAGGTATTTTGATGGATATAAGTTTACACCTGGAAAAAGCAGATTAAGTGAAAAAATATTCTGAAAAACTGCTTATTTATGGAATGCTGCTGGCTCTGTTGCGGAAGTATTTTACCTGGCTCATATTGTTCTTTTGCAAAAGGTAGCCATAAAAAGTGCCTCTATGAAAACAGTGGAAAAAACCTAGATAGTGGTTTCTTTTAGATCCAATGGCTCTGTCACACTTACTGAGCTGTTAATTGAAAAGCTTAACAGATCTGGGATGCAATTCTGTCTCAGTAACAGAATTAGCAGAAGTGTAGGAGCTGAATGGGTGATTTCTGTTTCCTCTACCAAATGCAGACACAGGTAGGATAGCCCAGAGACGTTTAGGTTCAGACTTCTCATAGCATGCACTATTTCTGGATTTTCCTTCCAGATGATTGTAGGTAAAAGGACACTACCTGTTTTCTGGGTGGGGTGATGGGCTACCCAGCTACTGGAGACAGCCTTAATGCATAGTAACATGGTTTTATGGAGTAATAAAGGTAGAGTATTATTCATAAATGCTAACTACCCTTTCAGGCCTGAGCTGCCACCAGCAGTTGCAGCCTGCTTCTTGACTAGTCTAGATATTTGTAGCTTGTTAAGTGGAGTCCATGCTGTCATCCCCACACTAGAAGAGCTGAGCTGTTGATGACTTTTCTGCTTTGCCTAGTACTTGGCCACACAACTGTGTTTTCCACATCTTAAGAAAAAAGGACCTACTTAATTATAGATTTTTTAATGGTTTAGCATCAGATCTCTCAGTACCTATCAGGTGCAAGATATTCCATGTCAAGGACTGCCTCAGCACTAGCTTCAGTACCAAACTCCATTTGCTAGCAGCAGCCTCCCTCTTAACTTGGATGTGGGATCGTACATGCCCAATGTACTGGCTGCCTTAGCACCTTACCAGATATACTTGGGCAGGCAAACTGTCCACAGTCCAAGAGGTAATTGTAGATGCAGGGGAAGAGGGAGAAAAGACATGATGTTTAGATGAGGGTGGAGGGAGAGGAATTTTCATGTTCCATAAAATCAACAGAAATATGCTGCTGTTGGAGTGGGTGTTTGTGTTTTAAATGAATGCTTTTTACGTGGAAGCAACATAGCTAATCTGTAGTTTTTCTGCAGTTTTTATATTACCTGTGATATTTTTGATACTGCCTGAAATGTCTAGAAAAATTGTCTTCTACAGGAATATTTCAAAAGCAGTTTGAAGAGGCTATGATAGTTCCTGAATTTGTGATGGAAGCAAGGGTGAAGTCCAGCTTTCTATGGCAGGTAGAGAAGACATAACTTACAAGCTTAAGGATGCAAGAAATTAAAATCTTAGAAGCAGCTTATGAAGACATTTGTCCTGTTTTATGACCACATTGGTGCCTATACCTCTGTGCATTATCAGGAGAAAGTGTTAGCTTTAAAGACAAAGTCATCTGGGTGAGTATCAAGTAGATGAGTCTGATGATGTCTTCTAGCTGAAATCCAGAATGTTTATCTTGCTCTTTTCTGAAGAGTGAAGACAGGCTTTCACGCTATATGATGTTGGGATATGGTCTAATGGCATTTCAGCTGGACCAGGGGTGTGTTAGCTGGGAAGTGCTTTATGCTGTCTAGTTTATGAAAGAAGTTTTTGTGTCTTGGAGCAATGTTAGAGGCAGGCGGAGTATGGGAGCAGGAATGATGGTTTGAGGATAGTTTTGAAGAGTCATGGTAGCTTTTCAGTGAATGCATTATAAATTAGAAAGACATCCCATCTGCAAATATAGTGGATATTATAAATATATTCTTGAAGTAGTGAATTGGACAAATTACTGTGCCTTTTTTTTTTCCCCTTGGAATTAATGATTTGGTATCTTTGAGCCTGACTGTGAAGGAGATTGAAGTCTGTTTGTGATCCCTGTAACAGGTAGAGTCAACGAGTCAACCGACAGCTTGCTGTGTTACCTAAAATTGCTGTAGGTTCTGATTCAATTTGTAATTTGGTGTTTTAATTGTAATTTGGTGGTTGAATCTTAGGGAGTGCAGAATTCTTTCAAGTCAGTGTGTTGTGATGGTGGTGCTTGTTGCGTCCTGTATTACTGCTGATTCTTTCCCCAAAGTAATCCCAGAACCATAGAATCATTTAGGTTGGAAAAGACCCTTAAGATCATTGATTTTAACCACTAGCCCAGCACTGCCAAGTCCACCACTGAGCCATGTGCCTAAGTGCCACAGCTACATGTTTTTTAAAAACCTTCAGGGATGGTGACTCAACCACTTCCTGTAATGTTCAAATGTCAGAGGAGGAATGTAACAGATATTTTCCATTACAAGATGTCCATTATGAAAGATTTGGGGTCTTTTTTTGCTGTTCTCCTTGGCACTATTATAGGGAAGTGTGCTGTTGTGTCCTAATATTGGTTATAGAAGATTTGTTAAGTTGGGGTTGGCTAAAATTTCATCTGTTCTCTGAATATCCATGTGTTATATGTGCTAAGACAATTATTATAGGGAAACATCTTCCATTCCCTTGATCTCTGGTGGGCGTCTGTGAATATATGAATATAGTCAACCAATAGAACCACTTTAAAATACATTTTAATTTAATGTAACTACCTTCTGTGAGGAATGTGCCTGTAAATAATGAAGAGGATCAGATATTTGAGTTTGCAAAAACATTTGAGCTCTTTTGTATGATGGTTATCTTTCTGTTCTGGTTTTGTGTAACACAGCTGATTCCTAGTCTGAGTATACAGTTCTACAGTGATATTGCAATGGGAATAATGGTAAAAGCCATAGAAAAGAGGAAGCTGATACTTCTGAGCATAATCAAGTCTGAGCCCACACTGATCAAAGAAGAGTAGTAGTCTATGCGTTTGCTATGGTGCAATGGAAAAAGCGCAGAGAATAGTGGACATCTCAGTGTTTTTCAGTTAATGCACAATTTATTTGTATTGTTTTTCTGGACACTGGTGTATTAAAGTTCTTGAGAGATCAAAATATTTCTCCTGTGTGACCCTGCTATCTCAGTGATATTGTTTTGATTTCTTTGTGCCACTGAATTGACATACTGTGTTCCCTGATAGAGGTCAACATTTCTGCTTTTATAAACTGGCACAGTTCCATTGAAGTTCAGAGGTCTTCTTACCATGGGACAGATTAGTGATTTTCCTTAGAGGAGGAGAAGACATGTTGTTTTGAGGAAA